AAATGAACACAACATTGTAAATCAACTCTACTTCAATAAATTTTAAAAATTAAAAAAGAATTGCTTGATAGGGCCAATTAGATTTAAAAAAGTACTATACCAACGTGAAATTTGTAGTTTTGACAAATTTACCTTGGTCAGGTAGGGTGTTAACAGTGGGCAAACCAGGTGAGGCACTTGCGGGAACTTTCTACACTACCTACGTACCATTTCTGTAACTCTCAAATTATAAATTTTCAAAAAGGGTGAATTTTACTTTATGTAAGTTGTTTCTCAGTAAGGTTGATTAAGAAGCATTTTAACTAAAAAGCATTTTGATTAGTGCACAATTATACCATTCTCCACTAAAAGGAACCAGGAGTCCTTGGGCAGATGGCTGATTCTAAGGCTGGGTAAGAAAAATACAAGATGACAGGGAGGACTTTGTAGAGTCAGAAGGAAAGGAAACGCTCCAAAAACAAAAGGATGAGGCGAGGCACAGTGGGATAGGAGCCAACCTGAAAGAGCTCCCAATGGTCAAAGCAGGAACAATTTGACAGCAAAATAAACAATGCCATGTTGGATATAACCCAAAGTAAAAATAAATATACACGCATCCATACTGATCGTAGGATAGGCATGAGGTGACTTCTTGCTGTGGACAGACACTGATGTATCTGTGGGTGATGTGCCATACTCCAGCAAAAAAGGAGTGGGAGGATACGTAAAACGGGAATGGCAGAAAGTGACGACTGTTGAGACGGTATGAATATACAGACTATGCTATGCTATTTTCATTACTTTTGCATTTTAGTATTTCCAAAATAAAATGTTTAAAGCCATGGAAAGGAGAAAAACCAGATCATCCAGATGGTGTGTGTATGTGGGGAAGGCAGAGAAGCAGAGAATTAACTTTTTAAATCGTCAGTTCAATTTTCAATAAAAAACAGGATGATGAATGTTAAAACTGAACTCAACTGTGGGGTTACACATGGGATCCCATTAGATCATTTCTTTTTATCACGTATGCCCCCAGGTTGGTGGTTTATTAAATGATTACCTTAATGAAGCACATACACAATTTTAGGATTAACTAACTTTCTACGTTTTATACGTTTTTGAAATTCTTCCACTTCTGTAGTAGATGCTACACTTGCAGGAAAATGGCACATTGGCAGTTTGGGGGTCCACAAAAACGTTAGCAGGTTTAAATCAGCGCCTCTACTAAGAGCAAACAGGCTTTAAGGCCTGACTCACCCACTTACAAGCTATATGACATTTTCAAAGGCATAAGTTTCATCCCATAAAAAACAGATCATCACCCAGGTGGTCAGGACTATTGCAAGGATTAAACGTATAAGGTGCTTCGTCTTTTTTTTTTTTTTTTGGCTGTGCTGGGCAGCTTGCAGGATCTTAGTTCCCCAACCAGGGATTGAACCTGGGCCCTCAGCAGTGAAAGTGCAGAGTACTAACCCTGGACTGCCAGGGAATTCCCAAGGTGTTTCTTCTAATACTTATGATAAATGAGTTCAGAGTAATACCAAATTACACAAACTTACTCAGAATTGCGAAAGGTTCATTTCAGTAATTTCTTTTTTTTTTACACAGATTCTCCTTGTCTACACAGCTGCATCTGTGACGTCTATAAATATCACATTTGAAAAGTCTACCAGAAAACTTCACCTAGGTCATGTGATTGTTTAAGTATCAGGGGAGAGGGGCAGAGAGGATAAGATAAATGGCAGAGAAGATGACTGCCTGGCTGGGAATACGGATTCCACACACAAAAAACTGTTAAAACCAGCAAATGAATTAAAAGTAGCAAGATACAATGTCAACATACAAAAATTAGTTGCCTTTCTAGCCACTGTGGAAAACAGTATGGAAGTTCCTCAGAAAACTAAAAACAGAATTGCCATATGATCCAGCAACCCCACTCCTGCACACATACCCAGACAAAACTACAATTCAAAGAGATGCATGCACCCCTATGTTCACAGCAGCACTACTCACAGTAGCCGAGACATGGAAACAACCTAAATGTCCATCAGCAGATGACTGGATGAAGAAGATGTGGTATATGTATACAATGGAATAGTACTCGGCCATTAAAAAGAAGGAAATAATGCCATTTGCAGCAACGTGGATGGAACTAGAGATTATCATACTAAGTAAAGTCAGAAAAAGACAAATACCATATGATATCACTTATATGTGGAATCTAAAAAATGACACAAATGAACCTATAAGAAAAAATGAACCTATCTATGAAACAGAATGACAGACACAGAGAACAAACTGGTGGTTGCCAGGGTGGAGGGGTGGGGAAGGGATGGAGTGGGAGGTTGGGATTGGCAGATGCAAACTATTATATATAGAATGGATAAACAGAAAGGTCCTCCTATATAGCACAGAGAACTATTGATATATTCAGTACCCTGTGGTAAACCATAATGGAAAAGAATATTTAAAAAAAAGAATGTATATACATGTATAACTGAATCACTTTGCTCTACAGCAGTAAATTAACACTGCAAATCAACTATACTTCACTTTAAAAAACTGCATTTCTATACACAATGAACAATTTGAAAACGAAATAAAACAATTCCATTTACAATAGCGTCAAAAAGAATAAAATACTTAGGAATGAACAAAGGAGGTGAAAGGCTTGTACACTGAAAGCTACAAAACACTGGTAAAAGAAATTAAAGACATTAAAAAAATGGAGTGACATCTCATGTTCACAGACAGGGAGATCTAATGTTACTTTGTCAGTGCTACCTAAAGGGATCTACAGATTCAACTCAATCCCTGTCAAAATCCCAACACACAAATAGGAAAACTCATCCTAAAGTTCATATGGAATCTCGAGGGAACCCAAATAGCCAAAACAATCCTGAAAAATTAGAAGAAAGTTGGTGGACTCACACCCTGATTTTAAAACTTATAAAGCTAACCAAAACAGTGTGGTATTGGCGTCAAGACAGACATACAAACAGACCAAGGCATCAGACCAGAGAGCCCAGAAATAAACCACTGGTTTATGGTCAAATGATTTTGGACAAGGGGGCCAAGACCATTCAATGGGGAAAGGACCATCTTTTCAACAAATGGTTCTGGGAAAGCTGGATATTCACACGCAGAAGAATGAGGTTGGACCCCTCCTTACACCATATACAAAAATCAACTCAAAATGCATCAGACCTAAACATAAGAGCTAAAACTATAAACCCCCTAGAAGAAAACAGTAAAAGCTGCATGACGTTGGAGTTGGCAATGGTTTCTTAGATATGACACCAAAGGCACAGGCGACAACAAAAAAAATTGGCAAATTTCACGTCATGAAAATTAAAAACTTTTGTGCATTAAAAGACCTTATCTGGGCTTCCCTGGTGGCGCAGTGGTTGAGAGTCCACCTGCCGATGCAGGGGACACGGGTTCGTGCCCCGGTCCGGGAAGATCCCACATGCCACGGAGCGGCTGGGCCCGTGAGCCATGGCCGCCGAGCCTGCGCGTCCGGAGCCTGTGCTCCGCAACGGGAGAGGCCACAACAGTGAGAGGCCCGCGTACCACAAAAAAAAAAAAAAAAAAAAGATCTTCTCCATAAAGTAAAAAGGCCACACACAGAATGAGAGAAAATACTTGTAAATCATATACCTGATGAGGGATATTCAAAATACACAAAGAACTCCTAAAAACAACAAACACCCTGATTCAAAAACGAGCAAAAGACTTGCATAGACATTTCTCCAAAGAAGATAAACATGGGGCCAATAAGAATATAAAAAGATGCTAAACATCACGAATCATTAGAAAAATGCAAATCAAAAACAATGGGATACCACTTCATACCCATTAGGATGGCTACTATAAAAAACAAACAAAAAACAAGTATTGGTGAGGATGCTACCAACTGGAACCCTTCTGCATTCCTGGTGGGAATGTAAAATGCTGCAGCTACTATGGAAAAAAGTATGGCAGTGTCTCAAAAAATTAGAGAATTAGCACATGATCCAGCATTTCTACCCGGGGTATACACACAAAAGAATGAAAAGCAGAGACTTAAACAGATATCTGAACACCCACGTTCACAGCAGCATTATTCACAATAACCAAAAGGTTGCAAACAACCCAAATGTCCATCGACAGATGAAGAAAATGTGCTATATACATACAATGCGGTATTATTCAGCCTTCAAAAAGGAAATTCTGACACACCGTAACATGGACGAACCTCGGAGATACCATGCTAAGTGCAATAAGCCAGACACAAAAGGACAGATGCTGTATGACAGAGACAGAAGGTAGAACAGCGGTTACTAGGGCCTGCGGGTAGGGAGAGAACAAGGCCTTGTTTAATGGGGACAGTTTCTGTTTGGGAAGATGAAAAAGTTCTGGAGATGAACAGTGTTGATGGTTCCACAACAGTGTGAATGTACTTAACACCACTGAACTGTATACTTAAAGATGATTAAAATGATAAATTTTGTTATGTTTTTCTACAATTAAAAACATATATATATACTAGGAAGTCTGGAGGTGTCGTACTTAGACACAAATGAAGGTGATGGAGTGAAGACGGTATTTTAAAAGGGGTGGTCAAGGAAGGCTGTAGGTGAGATGAACTTCCGAGGAGAGACATGAATGAATAGGAGAGAGGGGTTGGAGGTTTGTGGGGCAGCAGCCTCCCAGCCAGAGAAAAGAGATGAAAAGGTCCTCACGCAGAAGCGTAATCCTCGTATTTGAGGAACCAGTGAGGCTGGCAGAGGGCAAGGCAGGGGGAAATGACAGGAGAAAAATGCAGACTGTTAAGGCTGGGTGAACGGACACCACTACAGGGGCCCCTTAAATATGTTGGATTTTATTCTGAGTGAAATGGGGAGCCAGGGGAAGGCCTGAAGTAGAGGAGTGTGATGTGACTGAGGTTTTCAAAGGGCCTCTTTGCCTGCCGTACAGAGTAGAGACAGATTATCCAGAACAGAGGCAGGATAATGGGACTCTGGCAGCGAGGTCCTCACCTGAATGCCCACCTCTCTGGGTCTGGACCTCCGTCATCCAAAGTTTTTCCTCTCTCTCCAACTGGGATATCATATCTGGCTTGGAGGACTGGTGCCCTGAGAAAACATTAAAGGGAAAAAAGTACTGAACAATTTTGGTTCCAATCCCATGATGGAAGGCTCCGCCCACCCCCCCAAAGTTTATTGAACATTTTTGATCAGACCTGTTGTGAGAAATACATTCTCATTAGAAACACGTGACTACCCCCACGAATCACTGAAACAAAAGACTAAATGACCTGTGTCATCACGTCCTTTGCAGAGTCTCACTATATTTACTGCAAGCGCTGCAGTTATTGCTACGATGTGCACCACTCTCGCTAAGGAGCTCTGACACTGCTACTTTATTCTACATTATTACAAGACTTAGTACTAAATTAATTTCATGCCCCACCAATGGATCATGACCCACCAATTTAAAAAAAATAAAATATGTAAAACAACTATACTCCAATAAAAATTAATTTAAAAAAATTAAAAAAGGTATGAAAGTGGGGGAGAGAGGGATAAATCAGGAGATTGGGATGAAAAAAAGATATAATATGAAATAAGGAGCCAGGTGCAGCCAAGCTCAACTGTTCACTTATAGTGCAGTTACAAAAGACAAACGTTTGCCTTGCAACAAAGACTAGAAACATCTTGTCTCTATGCTCCAAAGGGACTGGAAAACTCTGGGTCTCTAAGGAGTCCCAAAGCCTGGAAGTCACGGGCAGAGGCCAGGGATGTTACTAAACATCCTATAATGCACAGGAGAGTCCCCATGACAAAGAAACCATCTGGCCCCAAAAGGCAGTAGTACCGAGGTTGGGAAACCCGGCCCATGGGGAACGATGCCAAGTCACAGGGAGGGCGCCCGTCCTCACCCACTGAGAGCAGGTTCCGGAAGTTCTCCAGCATCACCTCTCGGTACAGCTTCCTCTGGGTGGAGTCCAGCAGCCCCAGCTCTTCCTCCGTGAAGGTCACGGCCACGTCCTTGAAGGTCACCGCCTCCTACAGACACCAAACACATGTAGCCTTAATCTTACAAGCAACCGCCCCTGGGAGCAGGGCAGCACTGGGAAGGTGGAGGAGGCATGTGGGAGGCCGTTCCAGATTCTAAGCGACCTGAACCACTCTTCTTAGGACACCGTCTCCTCTTCCCCTTCCACAGTTACACCAAAGATGCTGGAGTGGTGGGGTCGGTGGAGGAAGGAACGACAAGAAAAAATCTTAAAACCTTATATACGTGCAACATGGTGCCCTTTATATAGCTGTGTCTCTAGAACTGTCACGGTTACGTTAAGGCATACACTCATTTTACAATTTCACTGAAAGTCCCAAATTTTGTAAGAAATGTTGAGTTAATTTAGTCCCAACGGTACTTACAATAATAGTGCCTATCTCCTTCTCTCACTGGGAAGTACCACTATTTTGTCAATGACTGCCAATCTAAACAGCCTTCAGTACCTCCGTGGGGGCAGGTAGGTAGTTTATTCTGTCCCAGGTACACGCTGTACCTGTCAACTGTGGCAGCATTCAGTGTCAAGGTTAAGAGCACAGGCTTTGGAGACTGACTGCCTCAGTTCACACTCTAAGGCTCTGTCCATTACTACCTTTGTGACCTTGGACAAGTCACCTAACTTCTCAATACCTCAATTTCCCCATCTGTACAAGGGCACACCATCATAGGGTACTTGATGGAATTAAATGAGAATATGCGAAGGGTTTAGGATATATCTGACACTTTTTTTTTTCCCCGCCTCGCTGCACGGCATGCGGGATCTTAGTTCCCCGACCAGGGATCGAACCTGTGCTCCATTCAGTGGAAGCGTGGAGTCTTAACCACTTGGACCTCCAGGGAGTATCACGTTAGATACTCAAAAAATGTCAGCCATCACTATTACTATTATCATCATTATTCACGGCTGCATGGTATTTCATAAAAGTGAAAAAATATACATTTAACCATTCCAAATAATTAACAATAATTTAAGATTTTAAACTTACTAATAATGCTGCAAAAACCGCATTTTCACATAGATCTTAGCCAACTTGTCTGGTTATTTCCTTAGGCTAAGTTCCAAGAAGTGGCAACTACACTGTCAAAAAAAATATGCACCTTTGCTAGTAAAATGGCAATTCTCCCAATTAACTTTTCCTGTCACAGATCAAAAGTGTTCCTGATTCTCCATACTCCGGCCCAAATTGGACATTATCTTACTTTTTTTTTTTTTTTTGCGGTACGCGGGCCTCTCACTGTTGTGGCCTCTCCCGTTGCGGAGCACAGGCTCCGGACGCGCAGGCTCAGCGGCCATGGCTCACGGGCCCAGCCGCTCCGCAGCATGTGGGATCCTCCCGGACCGGGGCACGAACCCGCGTCCCCTGCATCGGCAGGCGGACTCCCAACCGCTGCGCCACCAGGGAAGCCCTATCTTACTTCTTAAATCTTGGGTAATTTGGTAAGTGATAAAAACAGCTCTTTTTAAAAATTTCCATTTAACTTCATCAAAACATCTCTTTCAATATTTTCCCCCCACATATCGCTTGCCTTGCTTGTAATCCTACCGAGGTAGCTGATGCATCAGTAAGATTCCTATGAAGAATATTACGCCTTTTCTAGCATGTACAGATTCCCACCTTCACCCCTCACTCCTGTTTCCTGTGTCTCATGCCTTAGCATATGGTGTTTTCCTTTATGACAATTAAAATTATTTCTCTAGGGAATTCCCTGGCAGGCCAGTGGTTAGGACTCGGTGCTTCCACTGCCAGGGTCCCGGGTTCAATCCCTGGCCAAGGAACTAAGATCCCACAAGCTGCTCAGCCAAAAAAAAAAAAAAAAAAAAAAAGTTATTTAAAGACTTAGCCCATCTCGACATTTGTTCTGACTGGAGTCCTGAGCATATGTGTATTAAACAACTAGTTGACACATGTGGCAAAGAAGAGACAGGCACTCAGAAAAGGAACTGAGGGCAGTGTTATTTTTGGAGTCCTCCAGCCACACCAGGCATACACACAACGTGGCCTCAGGGCCCCATGTGGAGCAGTCTCTTCTTCTGGGTCTCTCCACTCATCCTCATTGGACACCTGAAAGTCCTGCCTCGGGCAATGGAAACTTTAGTGTCAGCTGGGGACTGAGTGGATTTTCACAGGTATCTGAAAGTTCACAAATCTGTTTCTGTTAAAATGCAGATAAGACCATCTATATCCTAACACAGCTGCTTCATGAACTAAATGCCTGGCAAGTCCCTGCTGCTACTAGACTTTTAAAAATCACTGGGTACCTCTTTAACATATACTAACATGGCAGTGAACAAAACAGATACTTAACTATAATACATACGTGGTGTAACTTAGAATTAAAGAATCTAGCTCTTGTTTGAAAACAAAATTATTTTCTCTTAGTTCAGTATCAGCTGGACTCTGCTGCACGAAACCATGCTTTAGACATTCCAACCACAAAACGTGAGGCTCCCCATGAGAAAACAATTGAGTTCCCAAACTTTTAGGAAGAAAATGGCAGAACTCTCAGAATTCCTGTTTGGGAAGAAAGGTTATATGTAGGAAAACGGTCACTGCAAACATCTTAAAATGGGAAAGTTCATAAACCACATAAATATGGACAACAGAAAAAAATACTAGGTAAACTATGGAAAATGAAGTGACCTTTTAAGTTGTGGGAGCTATACAATTTTAAAAATCCAAAATGTGGGGCTTCCCTGGTGGCGCAGTGGTTAAGAATCTGCCTGCCAAGGCAGGGGACATGGGTTCGAGCCCTGGTCCAGGAAGATCCCACAAGCCACGGAGCAAGTAAGCCCATGCACCACAACTACTGAGCCCATGCGCCACAACTACTGAGTCTCCGTGCCTAGAGCCCATGCTCCACAACAAGAGAAGCCACCACAATGAGAAGCCCACGCACCACCACGAAGAGTAGCCCCTGCTTGCCACAACTAGAGAAAGCCCGCGCGCAGCAACGAAGACCCAACGCAGCCAAAAAGCAAAGTTAAATAAATTAAAAAAATAAAAATCCAAAATGGTATTGAAAACTGTGATTACAAATCGACACACGTAAACACTAATGAAAAGGAATGTGAGAAAATGAAAACTGATTTGTAAACATGTTTATAACGTGGGAACTGTTTTTTTTGGGAGGTAATGAATTTATTTAACTTTTTGTTTTATATTGGAGTGTAATTGATTATGGGAACATTTTTATTTTAAAAAATTATCTATTAATTTTCACATCATTATGTGGAAATAAACAAAAAGCAAGGGGCCACCATACAACAGTTCCTCAAGTGCCTTTGGTTCCCTTTACCCTTCCCGAGCAGGTGAAAAATGTGTCCAGTCTTTGTGAAATGAGATGTCATTTTAAGAAACAGAAAAGCAAACCTGACTTACCTGGAATTTGGTCATTTTTTTCCTCTTCCTGCTGGGGAAAGGCCGAGTTCTGGGAAGGCAAAACTGGGGAAGGGAAAGAAAGCCATCATGAGAGAGATACTGGGAACTGTGCTAGTCCACGTGGTACTTCGTGTGATCTGGAAGAGGGGCCCCTTTCTCTAGGCAAATGCAGTGACAACATAACCCAGTGAGAACAGGGGCTGGATTCCAGCTTCCCCTGGGCCTCCTCGGCCAGCTGCCTTAGTTCATGAACAGTCCATAAACAGCCCTCACCCACATGTTTCTTGTAGCTCCCAGAGTATTCCTGAGGCTGGCTGTTAGAGGAAATGAGAGGCAGACGGGAAGCACCAACAACTTAATGGGGCTGATACCGAGCAGGGCCCTGTGGGGCTCCTGGGCACAAAGCCTTTCTGTGTCCCCCATTTCTTTGACTACAGGAAATAGCCTTCATTCAGCCTCCATGACCCTGAGTTCCAATGGGCAGATTCAAGCAGCTGTTCATTAGGGAAGAGCGGGGATGCAAGACTAGGGAGAAACAAACAGTCCAGAGAAACAATAGTGCAGCCTTGGGGCAAGGTCCTGCTTCCCCACCAATGGATACACACAACAATGTCTTTGAGCTGTTTTGCAGATACTGAAACCCCCTCCAGGTGGGGGAAGTTAACGATGGTATGGTGCCCACAAGCATGTAGACCCCAGACCAGCTGGAACCTGAAGGTTGATGATGCCGACTCCCACTTACCTCACCGCCAACTCATCAGGAGAATGTCCACGAGCTGATCACGCCCTTCTTGAAAAATTACTATAAAACTTCCCACTATCGTCTCCAAGTGGGGACACAGTTTTACGAGGCAGGAGCCCACCGTGTCCCCCTTTGCCTGGCAAAGTAATAAAGCTATCCTTTTCTACTTCACCCAAAACTCTGTCTCCGAGATTCAATTCCACACCCGTGTACAGGGAAGCTGAGCTTTTGACATCAGGGCCAAAATGCCTGGGTTCAAATTCTGTTATTTCTACTTATCACTTTCTACTTACTAGTCGCATAAACCTTGAGCAAGTTATTAATCTCTCTGTGCCTCAATCCAGTCTACCTGTAAATGGGTACAATAATGCCACAATTCCCTCCTGCAGCTTCAGACAAGTAGGTGCTCTTAAGACTCGTAAAACTGCCTTTGCGAATCTGCTTTACAGAAGATGACTCTTAGGAAACACAGACTTCAGAGATGACTCTGTCCCTTTACTTACCCTTACTCTCCAAAAAAAGCCTAATTCTGACTGGTGGTCTCACAGATGGTTTGTGCTGTTGTTAATGAACGTTAAATTGCCACGGGTTTTTTTCCCCTTAATAGGTGTAACTACTTGCACGTGTTATTAAGCTGAAAGAACGAAGTTTCTTCTCGCATTGCATGAAGGTAAACAATGACTAATAAAAACCTAAAACTAAGAAATCGTGTTGCATTTAAATTAACAATATGGGGTTGTTACACAATACTGAACATTTTTAACTGAAGCCTGGCTACATCGCAGGCACTGTGCAAAGCCGTGACCACGATCATTTCTCGGTCTGGGATAAACCACAGAGGACTTTTCCCAGGATCCAGCGGAAGATAACTCTCCTTCCTAAACAAGCGTCCAGAAAGAATCCAGGAATCCAAGAACAAACCCACCTCAGTGATCAGGGAAGGCACAATGGGTCTGCAGCTGGAGCTCCGACCCCATCCCAGGCTCGCAGGAGCTTCCCAACAACAGGGCGCTTAAGTATTATCACTGAATTTATGGTAACATCCAACATTTTACCGTGCACTAGGCACTGTTCTTAAGCTTTTAAAATATAATCTCACTTAATCCTCAAAAGAACATCATTGGGAAGGAACTAACCGGAGGAAACTGAGGCAGAGAGAGATTAAGCAACCCGCTCAATAATTTACCGCAAGAAACAGAGCTGGCCCGTAGTAGCGGTAGGAGGGCTGGGGGAGCAGAGAGCGCGGGAGACCGTCAAACTCAATGTAGGACGCGAGCCCGCCCCCGACGCGGGAGGTTCGCCGAGGGAACGCACACCGCCGCCGCTGCCCCCTCCCGCCCTCCGCCGCTCGCCGCGGCTTCTCTGCCCCAGGAGCGAGGACCGGGTGGCCCCACGCCGAGTCCGAGAAGGCTCGGAGGGATCACAGGGACGCTGGGTTAACTCACCGCCCTAGGAGTAATCTCGGCCCCGACCTCGCCTTCCCGGAGCGGAAGTGCCTCGGGCTACACACAGTTCCCGGACTACACTTCCCAGAATCCCCAGGCGGAAGCGCCTCAGATTTCACGAACCTCCTGGACTACATTTCCCAGAATGAAGTTCGCAGAACCGCTCTTCCCACCAGCTGTCTTGGGTTTTGACTGTGGAGCGGGCTCGAATTTAGTCACTTTTGGTGGAACTGTCAGATTCCTTTTGTTTTACTCATTTCTTAAAGCTCATGAGAAAATAACGTAAGCAGATAGTTTTTTGGGTAACAATAATTGCGAATTTTTTAAAAATGCGTCCGTGTAAGAGAGAAAAGAGAGGCTTGTATTACGAAAATAAGTTAAAACCCAACATTTTTAGCGGAGGCAAAGGGTAGACTAAAAAGTGGGAAACGTAAAAGTGACCTAGGCGGAACTGCCTAACACAGAACTTAAGGAACACTGGATTTCAAACTTGTTTCCAATGCTGACTCCCCAAATATCAGCAATAAAACCTGTTAATGAGACAAAAACATAGTTTATTGCTACCTGGTGACACCACCTCCACAGAGCCTCCGCACCTTGACAGTGTCCGCGGAGCCAGGAAGACAAGGCTGGAATTCACTGAGAATTGGAAGTGTGGTTTAAGGCGGCGTCCTTCAGTGCAAAAGACGAATGGGATTGCATGACGGTCATGATGCTGCAGTCCAGGATTGGTGGGAAGAGCAAGGATTTTTGTAGGCGAGGAACCTACAGGTGCAAACTGTTGATGTTCTTTAAAGAGATAGAAGAGTTGATGGGTGCTTGTGGAAGCTCCTTTAATGAACAATCAAGCAATTTGGGCAGGAATCTTCTGGAATAGTAAAGGCATGCTAGTAAAACTGACTAGTTATGTTAATGTACACAGTAAATTGCGGGAGGGAAGGTAGATAGGTAGGAAGTTTCAGTCTTCAGTTTCCAAGCTGTCTGTCTTGGGGGGAAGGGAGAGGTTGGAATAAAGTGTTTTGACTCCTTTGCTTCCTTTATTCAGCAAGGCACCTAAGGGCTCTTGAGAGGGTTCTGTGGAATGAGCGGTTCATTCCAATATGCTAAGAATTTGCAAAAAGGCTATACACACATCGATTAGGCTGTAAAAGCGAAATATCTTGAACTTCATTTTTAAAAAACATAGTGGTTGTTATGTCAAACAAAAGCAGCTCCGTTGCAGGGAATTTAATATTGTGATGTGTGCATATATAAAATCCTGAACTGTTTTCTAATTCATTTGGCTTCAGACATTTCAGTATATATTTCTATTCTGCTCCTGATATAAATAGTGTCTGGTGAGTGAATAAGCCAAGTGAACCAGGAAACCATGGTTTTTCTCCTAGGCAGGGAATATATTTTGTAGCTTTTTATTATGAAAGTTTTCAAAAACTGACAAAGGGGGGGATGGGGATGACAGAAAGGCATTTGTGCCCAGGAGGACCCCAGAGGGTCCTGCTCAGTTTCACTCCATTGTTTATTTTTTGTGTCATTAAATAATTTCTTCTTCTAGCCTATGTGTTTCCTATCAAGTAAAATTTAAATCTAAAGGCCTAATTAGACTTTTTTTTGCAGTTCACATTTTGAAAAATATTTATTAAATGGCCTGATATGAAATGTCCTAATTTTTTAAACATCTTTATTGGAGTATAATTGCTTTGCAATGGTGTGTTCATTTCTGCTGTATTACAAAGTGAATCAGCTATACGTATACATATATCCCCATATCTCCTCCCTCTTGCGTCTCCCTCCCACTTTCCCTATCCTACCCCTCTAGGTGGACACAAAGCACAGAGCTGATCTCCCTGTGCTATGCGGCTGCTTCCCACTAGCTATCTATTTTACATTTGGTAGTGTATATAAGTCCATGCCACTCTCTCACTTCATCCCAGCTTACTGATTAGATTTAAGTTCATCTCTTTTGACAAAGAGACCACTTCATAGGTAGAACTAGAAACACCTGAACAAAGACCAAATGAAGCCAATACAAATCCCGGGCAAAACACCTTTGAATAGGAAAAAAAATAACAGCAAATATGTGAAAAACAGTGGACTTATTTTATTTTATTTTTTTGGCCACACGACTTGCAGGATCTTAGTTACTGGCAGTGAAAGTGTCCTAACCACTGGATGGCCAGGGAATTCCCTAAATTGGGACATTTTTGAAAGTGAAAACGGTACCGTTCCTAATTACACTAAGGCAATAGATATAATCTGGCACTATTATAGACAACTGGGAGATAGGGTCACCGCACTCATGGGGATTGATATAATTCTATTTTCTAGTACCTAGATGTCTGCTGTCACCTAGATGTCCCAATAACCAAGACAGAAAACTAGCTGGAAAAAAAACACACACCTGCAGAAACTGAGCTGCAAGAGGAGAGGGATGAAACTTGAATTAAAAAAAATGATAATAGGATTATTTAAGGAAACTGAAGTTCAGCATGTATGTGTCCATAAGTGCATGGGCAAGGGCACACACACTCATCTAAGTTCCATCTCCAATTTACCAATTGAAAGTAGATGAATTTAAGGGGAGGATTACCAATGATGAGGGCAAAGATAGTAATCTCAAAGACTAAGTGAAAGAAATTTCTCAAAATACAGCACAGAAATACAATCAGCTGGAATCAATGATGGGAAGAGAGGAGATGTGAAACGTATATCCTGGAAATCTATCATGTGAGTAAAAGGAATTCTGAAAATTGGAGAAGGAAACAACAGAGGCAAGAAAATAATGAACTAGATAATGAATGAACATTTTCTTGATCTGAAGAAACAACGCTGCAGACTGATAAGGCTACCAAAGGTCATGCCTGGATTGATGAGAAAACAAAAAATTCCCATCTTGGCAGAATTCTGGAATTCTAAGATTAAAGTGAAAATCTTAGAACCCTCCAAGCAGAAAGAACAAGCTACTCATAAAAGCAAAAGAATCCATTGATATTGAACTTTTCCTCTACAAAACAGGAACACAGAAGTAAGTTGAAGCACTTTCTACTTACTAATAGCAAGCCAACAGTTCTGTACTGAAGCTAGATATCACTTACTTGTCAGGCAAAAGGAAGGATGAGCATGAATTCAGACAGTATTGCCCCACAGGAGGAAAATACTCAAAATGAAACAGAATTGCTAAGCAGCAAATGCTGTCGCTCCTAAGAGCTATAAGCCTAAAGAGAAGGAGTAGCCTCATGACCTAGGTGGAACCAAGGCGCCCTCTGGTTCTGTGCTGGTTCCATTTATTTCCGTATCATCAGGAAGCAGCAACTCCAAAACATCGTTTTATCAACCAGGAGAGGCTGGCAAATAAGACCAGTGCAGTATCCTGCTCATCCAGCAGAGGTCGCACTCCATGAGAAGCGGGTCACTGTCCCAGCCCCCGAATCTAGGCAGTGGCGAGATTCTCCCCAGGAGGAGAGGCAGCCATAAGAACACAGCTCTGTAGCTCTAAGGGGGATGACCTCACTTGAAAGAGTGTGGGTGAGTTTACTTGATAATTTCAGAGATCCCATTTTACACAGATTTATTGCTTGAGTAAACTGACATTCACTCACTGCAAACTCTAAAAAGTAGAAGAAACATTCCATAAAATCCTTATCAGAACAAGTCGTTGTTTATACAAGGTGTCCTTCACATGCTATCTGATGCACATATACACACGTACACATGTTCATGTTTTTGATATTAATCTGCAGACAGAGCCTATTTTCCGTAAATCCGATTATATCCCGTCATGTTTGTGCCATCATTTTAACAGCTCCATGTTATTAAAAGCATATCAAAGTATATCAAATCTTACGCAAATTCTTATTGAGGAACACTCGTTATATCCACTTGTTGAAAACTTAGTGACATCATTCATGGTACTTATCTTTTCTATGCTTTAAATTTCCTAATTTAAATTTAAATTACTGTTCTAAGATTTGCAGATCGAAGAGAGATACACATTAAACATTTCAAAATATACTAACTCCTCTCTGAAATTTATACATTTTTTACAGCTACCCATAGAGAAAACTGTGTAAGAATGTCAAGCCTACACCAATAATGAAAAATTTGAAAATAAAATGACCACATGCAACAATTAAAAAAAATTTTTTTTCTTGAGGATTAGGAGGGGGAACGTTGGATAGGGAACTTGACAAAATTAATATTCTTCAAATCCAACACAGCCCTACCTAACAAATGTTGATGGGAGAAATGCTATAGCACTCTGAATATAATCACATCAAAGTCTCAATGAAAAGATGAAGAATAAAAAAACTAATTATCAGTTTAAAGTTTACTGTGACAACTTTTGTCATTAGCAAATACTTTTGACACTTTCTAAGTGTTACAGTAAAATTCTACTTTAACACCCTAGTGGGGTCAAAAGATTTAAGTGTTATGGAGTATCCAGTTAGTGAAAGATTAACAAAAGTAATTTTTTAGCCCGGCTATACCATCACAAAAATCATAAAGGATAGCTGAATTCAGACTGTTTACAAGAGATGGAATATGAAACAGAGTCCCAAATACTAAGAACCCAATTTGAGAACTGTTTTATAAATTAGCCAACGATAGCCCCTGTTTATTGGCCCTATGTTGTTTATTTTTTTAATTGAAGTATAGTTGATTTACAATGTTAGTTTCTGCTGTACAGCAAAGTGACTCAGTTATACATGTGTGTGTACATATATATATATATATATATATATATATATCTTCTTTTTCATATTCTTTTCCATTATGGTTTATCACAGGATATTGAATACAGTTCCCTGTGTTATACAGTAGGACCTTTTGTTCTATGTTATTTACTTCTTTATAGCCGCCTGGGACCATGAGCTCAAAAGCCTGCTGGTGCCAAACTGAAATCCTCATGTAATCAATTACTTTAATACAGCCCAAATGAGCACATTTTAAGTCATTTGGAGCCTGCTTATTTTGTACACTCTGCAAAATTGCATCCAACATCTGCTAGCCAGAGATTAAGACAAACCCTGGCGCTGTAACAGACCCTAAGCAGCTGCTGCCTTTCGGAGTTCTCTGACCCCAAGGCTCCGCCTTGTACTGCCGAGCGACATCACTTAGACCTGTAAGCAGCCCCCCTCCAATCCCCATCTGCCCCAGAAGTTCCCTTGCCCTCTTTCTCTTCTCAGTGGTGGTGGTGGCCACCCACTGTAGTCTCTGTAAGGTCTCATGCTCTGAGACTTCCCTTCACACATGCGATCTTATCAAAGTACCATCCCGATGAACCTGATTGGGTACCACTGCCACTTCCTGGTCATATCTTTTTCCTTGATCAGCCCCGAAATCTTCCCACTCACTATAAGAACAAAGGCTGGGGAAAGAACAGGAGCCAATCACACACCAGTGTAAGGCCAAATTAGATGATGAATTATAGTACCATTGGTCTTCTGCATTTTGACTATCTACTTGAATTAGTTTTATTAAGACCATTGGGTTCTTCTGAATATATTTTATATGAAATTCTTCAGATGAACCTAATATAATTTTCTCCCTTTTATATACATTTTCTCTCTTTAATCATATAACAAACAAGTTCTGAGCACACCTACAAAGCACTGAGCAATGCTGTGTGGCTTCAGCAGTGAACAAAAGCTCTGCCCTCATGGAGCTTACATCCTAGTGGAAATCAGTTTTGGCATGTCTATGATCACACTTTTAAGGACCTGATCATAGTCATCCTTTCTAAGGCCTCCCTCCTGAGTAATGTGTGATAAATGCCACCGTTCTGACTGATGTCCTTAGTGTACCACTTACGAGGGTTCTCTGCCGTGTGGGCTCTTAACCACTGGGATGTGTCGAGCTATGGCTGAAACACAGACTTTAGTTTGTTTTGGCCACGCAGCATGCGGGATCTTAGTTCCCCGTCCAGGGACTGAACCCGTGTCCCCTGCAGTGGAAGTGCAGAGTCTTAACCACTGGACCGCCAGGGAAAGTCCCTGAAACACAGACTTTAATGAAAATATTTTCTCTCCTATTTGACCAAAGGATTAGATGAATTTAGACCTCACTGAGGTCTTTGACAGACACCATTTCATAGAACTGTTTCCCTCCGTGGATCCTCTGATAAAGTTCCTCCCACTCTCATCACTTCTTCAAAATTCATCCTGGATAAATGTGATGATGTACAAAATGTGATCTCCAACTGAAGCGCTGACCGCAAGCTCATAATGGTAAGGCTTCTCTCCTGTGTGAACAGTCTGATGATTCTGGAGTCACAAGAACCATCTGAAAACCATACTGTATACACTTTCATATCTGTATGGTTTCTCTCCAGAGTGGAGACTATGATGAAGCTGAGGTCTTGAGGTGTCACCGAAGCACTCAATACACATCCCCTATTTATAGTGTTTCTCTTCCATGTGCGTCCTCCAATTAATCCGTGAAGACTTTCCCACATGCCTCACAATTTGATGGTTTTCTCCCCATGCCCCCAACCCCGAGTATGGGCTCTCTGGCAGGCTTGAGGCTGTAGATTCTGACACAGTCTTTACCCTTTACTTCTCACGTCTGAATGTTTTCTCTTCACTGCTGTCTCTCTGATGGACCAGAATGGCCTGACCGAAGCCCTTTCCACAGTCCTTGCAATTACAGAGTTTCTGTCCTGTGTGGATCCTACAA